TAATGTAACTATATCAAAAATTACTAATAAAGATACGAGCAAGGCCTCACCTTAAAACCAAAAAAAAAAAAAAAAATTCATGATATTAGACTAGTCTTTAACAAGATAGATTATTAAAACAAATCATGAAAGCTAATAACTAGGAGTATATAACTTTGTAATTGCTAGAAGTTTTTATAAACAAGATCCTGATGAATACTATATAAAGAAGTATACAAGAATAGAGATATATACTGCATTAGATAACTAAAGAAATATTAAAACTTGAGAATAGTAAACTAGTGATGTTAGCAGTATCTGCTTGAGGTACAAGGTTAGTATATCTGAAAAAGTAAATAAAAAGATCAGAATATTCATATAACAGAAATATCATATAGAAGAATACAACTGATATGAGTTAATACAAACACAAAATAAGTCACTGGACAAAATATGATACCAATGCTTCTTATGTGAGACTAGCAGTGATAGCAGATATCTAACTTAAGAAACATATACAAGAGACTATCTGTGTAATAATACTAGAAATTTCAATAACAAACATACCAAATTGAGAAGCTATTAAAAACTGATTTTCTAAAAGAACCAATTTGAGAGTAATCAAGATTTGATAATAAAATATAGATGAATGTAGTGGGTAACTAGAAGTAGTCTAAACACCAAATTCAGGTATAATCCAATATATGATGAGAACATAGTATACTCTGATAGGTTTAGTTTATAGATAAATTTGTTTAAGCTTGTATTCTTAATAATAGATATATAATTGTATTAAAACAATTACTACATTATATATCTAATAAAAATATGGGGCATGACCTCACCTTAATACTGAGACCTCCCAATTTTTTTTTACTTTCTTACAAAAATATATCATTAATTTGATAATGTTTTATCATAGAGTAGTGATTTGATATACTTTCTAGATTTAATATTTATATTGACTTGATATGGCAAATCGTATATAAGTGCTTAAGAAGTAACTGCATAATATTGGTCCAGTTTTGTTAGATAGATTCTGTTTTGTACATAGAAATTATTAATAAAATAGATCACCAGCAAGATTGCTTTAAAAAAAAATTAAAAAATATATTTTACAAATTTATAATTTAAATTTTACATGATATCTCATGATCCAGTGATCCGATTTAGATAATTTTGGTGCCATTCGGATCGCCTCATTGAGAGGATTCGAATAGTACCAAAATTATCTAAATCGGATTATTGGGTCCTGAGATATCACAGTTTGATCAAAATTAGTATTTGTATAAAAAAATGAATGTGATCGATAAAACCTGTATTTATAATTATCCGGCAAACTCTTATGATCATGAATTGCCATCTGTCTTGTTATTTTTTTCATGTGTTACGATGTAATCATGTTTATTCAAATTAAAACTCAGTCGATGACTCATGATCATAAATTGCCGGATAACACCAATATTGGTAATTCTGATTTGCACTAGCCAATCAGACGGTAGTTCCGTAATTCGCAAATTGATATAAATTAGATCATACTGGTTATTTTTTCATCTATCATGTCTGACAATTCAAACGCCAACGTTGATTCTCAACAAGTATTTATAATGTCATTGATACAAATTATTTGCGCAATTAATTGTTAGTTACGCGTTCACCAAGTTATAAGTCTTTACGATAGGAATTGCAATCCCTTCGACAGCTTCGCGCGAGTTTGACCAGTCTAGATGTTTTGACTAAACAAATTTTGCAAGATCTCGAAATTATGACTAGAAATTACGAATCTATCAATGGTATGTACCTTAAATAACGACTTTTTCCTAAAGTTGTGATTGTCCGTTATCTTTGGCACGAAATAAATAATAAAGTCGTCCGTTTTTTAAAAGAAGTTGGCGTTTTTTCTAAAAAATTTATCTTTTTTTGTATTGCAAATTTATAGCAATTTGTGATGGCTGGAAAGTTACTAAAAAGCGGGAACGGGATAGAGTTTAGAACCGGCTTTAGTAAACCGGGTCACCCGTGTCAAAACGGTTCAACCGGGTCAAAACGGTTGAATATGTAACCTCCAATATTACACAAAAAAATTTAACACATTATTACAGTATCGTGATAAACACCTTTTTTTTTACTAATTTATCTAAATGCTCAGGTGTTATAAGTTTTAAAGCCCGAAGTCGAGTTTTCTTTAACGTCACGTTTACATAAATTTTAAATGAGTGCTGCCGAATTAAAATCTGAAACTGAACTAAGAATTTACTACGTATGATCAGTTACTGGTTTTGCATACTATACATGAGATTATGTTCTTACTCAGTACAGTATCGTTAATCAACTGGGTAAAATTTTATATTAAAAGTTCTAAAATTTTTTTCTGTAACATTCGTTGAATTAGCTGAGTAAGGTAATGTTATACGTACTCAGTATGCTTCGATAATTAACTGAGTAATACTCAAATCGGGTTTCTTCTAAACAGAAATATGCATGATAATACATGATGCTTAAACACTTTGATGGTTACAGGATTATCGTTTATTAGTTAAGATGCGTGTTTGTCGAAGTATAATATAATTATTTACATTGCAGATATCTATATATGTATTGATATACTTTATAAGAAAAAGCCAAAATTCTTTCAAATAGTTTAACTTCCCGATGATTAATATATTATTGCTGAATATTCAAGCATTAAGATTTTGATACTAAAAACCGATCTCATAGTAACTTTTAGCTATGAAGACTAATTACAATACAGCATTATATTAAACTATAGATAGCTTCGTGGGTTAATAAAAGCTAATACATATTCCAAAATAGTTTATACAAATTTAAAATTATTTTTTCATGGAAGCAAAATAGTTTTGCCAAAAATTTATTTGGAATTTTATGTTATAAACGAGTATGTCTTGTATGTAATAAATGGTCAAATATTGTATCCTTGTATGGATATTCTTTTTTTTTTTTGACTCTTAAATTCGAATATGATTTTTATCGCATAATAATCAGTAAAATCAGTAAATTTATCAATTGATTATATATAGTGTATTTAATCAATTTCAAATTTTTTATTTTTCGCTTACTCTTTTCTTAATTATAGAATTTGTTCATATTGAAAGTAATAGCAAATACTGATTATGAACCTTTTGTTAACTATGAATCTGATGATAATTATGGATCTGTCGATGATTATGAATCTGTCAATAACTATGAATCTAGCTTTAAGAAGTCAGAGGAAGAAATCCCAGTCATCGATCTAACGGAAGCAAATTCGTATTCACCTTTTGATGATTTTGAGGTTATTGCTACTCAATCAGTAATTATTTGATTTATTTTTAATTCTATAATATAATAAAATTAATAAATCTTTTTTATTTATTAAGTCTAAAGTAGCTAATCGTAATAATTTGAATTCTAATAATGCCTGATAATACATTACCGATTAATTTAATTACTGAAAATTTAAAAGTCAGTGAAATTAAATACTCTGCTTTGCCAATGAAATGTTCACCTACTTCAGAACAAGGCATTGCAATTGTATTTAATATAGGATCTTGAAAATTATATATGATGTTTTTTCAATAATGTATTAGGCCACATAAATTTATATAATTGGTTTCATATCCCGCCCGCATCAACAAAGTGAGGATTGGAAATTTTTTTTTTTATATATGAGTGCCGCTAAAAGAAAACCCGAAAATTTAAATATGACTTATATTTAAATATTCGGGTTTTCTTTTAGTGACACTCATATATAGTCAACCAATAAAAATTCTTAATTTAGTAATTATGTGATAAAAAATCAAATTCAATATGTGAAAAAATGACAGTACATACTGTTATTATTGTATAGAGAGAATTTATAGAACTATCAGCACAATTTAACTCCAAAAATTAACTTATAGGGTCTTTTATATTAGAACTGCTGTAATAAATAACTTGTACACTCGATTAATACAACTACGGAATATGTGAGATAGAAAGATCGAGACACTTAATTATATCTACTGGTAATTGATTAATAAGATCAGGTTAAAGGACTAACAATAATAATAAATATGATACAAATACGTCACTAAACTAAAAACAATGAAAAATCTGATTCTTATTATGATCCGTTTATAACTAAGATATCGAGGTCTGAAGCTTTATTTGAAGAGCAAAGAGGAAGCTCTTTTATATTTTCGGGATATATAGAAACAAGATTTTTGCATATTTTGGTCTACTTCTAATCCTTTTAGATTAAGTATAGACCTTTTAACCCAAGCTTTTACAGACAATTAAGCTAAGCTTTGTCCAGGTCTAATCCCTTACAACTTATCCCGTATCTAAACTTTAGTCTATGTCTAATCTTTAAAGCCGTATACAAATAAATAAATAAAATAAAATATATAGATAAAAATAAATAAA